TTCAATCTTCAATCTGCAAAAAGAAAATTCATTACAAAAAATTTATGCAATTTACTTGACTATATTTTTACCAAACTAAACTATGTCAAATTTTTTGCCACTAAAATTCCACCTGTCCTACCAAAAAAAAACCAATAGGATAAATAATTAATGCATACGCATCGATCATTCACAAACTTCTTTTTAATTCTTTTAAAAATAAACAAAATGTCACAACAAAAAAGCATGAGAAAAAGAAAACAAAAAATCATTTGGAAGAAGAAAAAGGGTAAGTGTTTTAAGGATGGTGGTGGTGGTTATTGCCAGCCACTCGTCATCACTCTAGTTTATTGTAAGAATGGTGGTGGTGGTTATCACCACCACTTGTCATCATTATAAGAATGAGAAAAGTGTTGAAGGAAATCCATGAAAATCAAGGTATATATGATAGGAAATTTTTTGGAAAAAAAGAATATTTAAACATCATTCATTAACTGCAATCATCAATCCTAGCATTATCACCTGTTGCTTCAACCTCCAATTATGCTTCTGTCATAGACAATTATAACTTGGAAAATTTACTAAAATCATACAAGCCCTTAGCAAAACAATTGGCTTCCAGTTTTTATGCATTTTATATCTATTTGGCTCTAAGTGGTAAATTAACATTTAAGGATAGTGAGGAACAAAAGATTGATTTCTTTTTCAAAATGAAATATATGGTATGTTTCAATAAATATTTAAGATCATCTATGATGACAATAAAGGAATGTCATAAATCTATTCAGCCTACTTATATGGCAAGTTGCAATTGGATATTGTATCCCATCATCAGGAAAATGGATGTAAATTTTACAGATTGTAAACTCATTCTCCTGATGGTTAGGGTTTGGCACAATAATTCGCAATTCATGATTGTTCTCAGGATGTTTATTGGAAGTTGATTGACAACTGAATCCTCAAATTCTATTATTGAATCAGAAAATATATAATACACTAATTAATGACCATCTTTTTTTATATTTAGAAGCCAATAGACTTTTTCATTTCAAAATCATTTTATTTTATGATCAAAAATATACACAAAGAAAAGCTAAAATACAAAGAATTTGTAATATCATGTGCCAAGGAAAAGAAATTATTTGCATTTTTTGAAAATGATAATTGTCTTTCTGAAAAAATTAGCTCTGGATATGATTCTGAAAGCAGTTATGATTATGAAAGTGATAATTCTTATGATGAAAGGTCTGATCTTATTCAAGTCAAAGAAAAAACAAAGTTGGTAAGTTTAATTTTAATTATATTAGATAAATATTAACCAAAGTTCCCGGTTTAACATGGATAATAGTTTTGTAGCAGAAACCCAATTATGATGAATATATCCAGAACTGTCAGTAAGATGATTGATAAAACAACATTAAAGTTTACAGATATTTTATCATATGGCACTCTGTTTGAGAATTCACTCCAAAAGAATCATTCTAAAATTTATCAACATTTAGTTAAAGAAAGGCTTGTAGAAGATTTAAAACCAATTGGCATACAAACAAAAATTGAACTTAATGATTTTCAACAACAGTTCATTTATAATTGTGTTGTTTTTGGAGATATTTTGATACCAGATGTAAGAGGACCAGATAAAATTTTTTACATGGAAATAATTTCATTTATTAATCAAATGTAAATATTGATAATCTATATATATATTTTGTGCATAGATTTTAAATGTCAATTTTGAACTTAAATTCACATAAAACATAATAATTATTATTTAAATTAGGAAATATGTTTGGGACAATGCATCATATCAAGAAGGAAATTCTGATATCAATGAAAGATCCTATTCACATCATGTTGTTAAGACAGTGGTGAAATTTTTATTCCTTGAAAAATGTGGAGCAATGCTATGATGGAACATTGAGTCAATCAACCAAGTTTAGAAATGACCAAGATAATGGTCCAAGAAAATACCCTGATTTTTTATCCTACATAAAAAGTCATAATTACTGTAGTTATAATTATGAATTTCTATTTTTAGAAATATCTTATGGACCATTTTCTCCAGACAACAAACATACTGAAGAAGATTTATTCCGACTTTGTAAATTTGCAAATGATGCATGGAAGCATGTGTTTTATTTTGTTGAAAAATTTGAAGATAACAAAGAAATACTTGAACTATTAAATCAGTTAGAAATAATTTTATTGCACTTTCATGGTAATTACACTAATTTACTTTTAATTAATATTACTATTTATTGACTGATTTTCTGTAATATAAATCTAGGGACAACACTTGATGTATATTTAGGAAATTAAGACCATTCAATTGAATAATGTTATATTTTTCCATTAACATTCCAATTATTTCTGAGAGTGGCATCATACAGACTGCAAATGACTTTATTGGTTTATGTGAGAATTTAGGTTGGCTACATGAAGTGTTGTTGAGAAACGTTGAAATTATTAAAAAAATTGACAATTTAATCAAAGGAAAGAAGATTAAGGATCACAAAAGCTGTTCCAGTGAAGATGAAATTTTGATATCAACTCATTCATGCTGATTTTTTATATCTGTTTGATGATACTTGGGAATTATCTTCAAAAGACAAAATTTTATATCACACAAATGAAATTAAAATTTTTTCATGGGATAGTTTTACTTTTGTACAAAAAGAAAAATAACAATATGAATGATTTTCTAAAAAAATTATTTAATTTTCATTACTTTATTTTTAAAAACCAAAAAAAACATAATATTTAACATTCTTTTATACCTTATTTGTTTTTATTAAATTAGTCATATATACTAGATGATAGATAACTATTACAGCTGTTTCATAAAAAATAAAAATTTTATGCATTAACAATTTTCTCTGTGATATAATGTTCACTTTGTCTGGTTTTGTTGCATCATACCCCAATTATGTAATGACTATAACCCATAAAACAAATTAAAACAAAACTATTCTTTCTTTTTAAAAGGAAAGCCTAATAAACTTAAAAAATAAGTATTTTCCGCACTTGAATTTGATTTAAAAACAATAGTAATTTGCAATCCTTGATTTTTAAAAGTTAAGTCATAAGGAACAGTAGGAAAAATATTTAAATCATCTATGCCAACGTTATAATTACCCATTTGATCAAATTTCTTGGCTGATATACCTTGAAAATTAGTAATTGAGGGCAAGTTAATATTAATTAATTCAAAAAGAAAATTTCAAGCCTTTTTTTCCTTAAGGTTACTTTACAACCAATCAGCATCCCTTCCCGCAATTTAAAAGTAGTAATTGAATTACGAGCATAGGTTAAGATTGGTTTTTGTCTGCCAGCAATCTGAATCAAGGCTTTTTCGGTATTGTCTAAAAATTGTTTATTACTGACTGCTTGCCCAATTCCAGAGTTTAAAACAATTTTTTCAATATCAGTAACTTGCATCAGAGAAGTATGCTGAAATTTCTTTTCTACTAATCCTTTAATTTCCTTTCTTTTGGTTCCTCACCAATCATTGATAATAAGCATATGTTAATTAATATTAATATTTTATATTTTTCTTCTAGTTCCCTAATAATAGTCTTTTTTTAAACAAAACAATTTTTTTTATCACTAAAATTAACTTCATTCCGCAAATCTTTATTTTATAGTTATATTATGCTTTCAAGACTTTTGCACTTTTTTACTCTCTATCTCTTGAAAACCGATTTTAGTAACTCGTTTTTTATCTTCTAATCAATACGCAACATTGGAAACATGAATAGGTACCATAATTTCCTTTAGCTCACTTTTCCTCTTATTTTCAGGAGTCAATTTATCATATTTTTTCTTATTCGCCTTTTTCAAATAAACTACTTGGTTTTCAGGGTCAATTTTGGAAATATAATCAATTGTTCCTTGATATTTTCCAGTGATGACCCTTACTATATCACCACTCTTTAACTTTGATTTTAACATATTTTCATGCATTTAATTAATAATTTTAACAGTTCCTAAAGCAATAAGCATCAAAAATAAATATTTTCTCAAAATTCAAACCAAATTAAAATTATTCACCTCCTTTTAATATCAATTTTTTTAACAATTACCAAAAAGGGAAAATTTATAAAACTTCAGGTGCTAGAGAGAAAACCTTTTTATATCCTCACTCATCAAACTCAGTTAATAAAGGAACAAAAATTCTTGTACCGATTGGTTCCTTACTTTCTTTTTTTACCAACACAGCATAATTTTTACTAAATTTCACTCAAACATTATTGTGACAATGAAAATATCTCCAAGTAGTAACAATTAACACCAGCACTATTTGACCTTTTTTAATATCAGAATTAGGCTTGGCTTTTTTCATGGTAGCTATTACTAAATCACCAATTCGACTATAGCGATGATTAAATCCTCCTAAGCAACAAATTATTAACAACTTTTGGGTGCCTGAATTATCAGCAACCATTAAAATAGACTCATTTTGTAGCATGACAGTTATTTATTCTTCTTTTCTAATTATCACAAAACTTTTAGTTTTAGAGTACTTTTGGCCACTATTTTTGATTTCTACTTTATCATCTATTTTCAAATCAAAACTCTCATTGTGAACTGGGAAATTTTTTTTTTGTCTAATTGGTTTGTGATACTTAGGATGCAATTTAGTAAAGACTAATTCCACAGTAGCAGTCTTAGCACTTTTTAAACCAACTACTCTGCCTATATATTTTTGGCTCATATATTATTTATTTTTAGTAAGCAGTCAAGCAATTTCTTTCTTTAGTGCCTTTATTCGGTTGTTGCTGATTAAATTTGGGAGAGTGTATTTTAATTGGTGATAACAATTATTTTTGTTTTGTGTGGATCAGAATGAATAGGTTATCAACAAATTGATTTTGTTAT